ACTTTCCTCCATGCCGTTTTCCCAACAAGAAATGCTCCTGGGTTTACTATTTGGCCTGTTGGAGAAACCCACACATATCCCAGGGAACATATGGGTTTCCTCAAATAGTGTTTCTCCCAGGAAGGCAGCCATTTTGTCGCTGTGCCCACCGTGCCGTGCCAGAATCCCAAATGTGCCCGCGGGCTCAGGAAGGTTGGGGACGCCTGCTGTGATGTACGAAATAGTCCCCAATCCGTTTGTTTTAAACAAGCTGTCAGTGCGGAGCGGAGGACGGTTGTAACAACTCCGCTCATCGGAACAGCCCTCTCTCTGAGCCACAGTTCCAGAAATCCTTCGCTGGCCCAGGCTTCAGAATGCCAAAAAAGCAGCAACAGTCAGACGGCAGCTTGTCAGGATGCCTTAAAGAGCCGAGGGCACCTGCCAGATAAAATGTTGACAAAAGAGGAAAGCCCGGCCAAGAGCAATAAATGGTTGGGCAAACTCAACCGGGAAGGGAGGAAGGGGCTGGCACGCCTCCACTGCAGTGCATTTTTACAGCCACATTTCCTCACTGATTCCTACTGTTTGGCAGGCATCTGACTAGCGGTCGGTCTATTCCTCAGCGGCCCCCTGTTGGCAAATTCGGAGACTCACACCGAGGCATCACTTGCAAATCAGATGGCTGAACATTGGGGGGGGGGGAGAGTTGTCACAAGGCAGATTGGAGAAGGCAAGCTGGGAGCGGAGAGCGCTGATGCCTCACCTGGCAGCCGTCGTACAAGGCACGGATCGGCGCTCCTGTGCTGCTGTGCATCAGCTCCGTGTCGCCCTGGGTGAGGAAGCGCAAGGCCCGGGAGTGGTCGCCGGAGTCGGCCTCGTACCAGGCAACCGTGTTTTGACAGAGGAGGGTGAAGTTCTGGTGGGCGATGGCACTGAGCAGGCGCAGAAACGTGAGCTGGGTCACGCGAATAGGGTTGCCGTCGGCGTCCACATAGGAGAACTGGGAAGGGACAGCAGAAGAGCACGGGTGATGTGACAAGGTGGAAACGCCATTGAAAGGTAACACGCACCTTTCAATCTCTACTGTGATTAAGGACTCCCTGAAAACATGCATCCTGCAGCCCTCCACCCCAGTCATACCAATGATGTGAATTCTCCCCAGGCCTGCTTCCCAAAATGCCATGGAGACACCAGTTGGTGTTAATGGGGGGAAGAGCTCTCCCACGCCATATTCTGTGTATGACTTGTTGAAGAAAAAGGAGGAGGAGGAGGAAGAGATTGGATTTATGCCCCACCCTTCACTCGGAGTCTTAGAGCCACTTACAGTCTCCTATCCCTTCCCCTCCCCGCAACAGACACCCTGTGAGGTAGGTGGGGCTAAGAGAGCTCTTTCGAGGACTGCTCCTGAGAGAACAGCTCTGAGGGAACTAGCAGCTGCATGTGAAGGCGTGGGGAATCAAACCCGGATCTCCCAGATTAGAGTCCACGTTCTTAACCGATATACCAAAAAGGAAGAATATAAGCCATCAATTTTCCTCTTCAGCTCAACTATAAGATGAAGAACACATAAGTAAGGAGAACGCATGACAAATGGTGTTTTGGCAGCAAGAGAGTTTCCTGTATTCCTGAGGCCTAACGACACGATGCCCTGCCCTGGATAGCCCAGGCTAGCCTGATCTCATTAGATCTTGGAAGGTAATGATAGGCATGAAATGGAGGCAGGCAATGGCAAACTATGATAGGCATGAGATGGAGGCAGTCAATGGCAAACGACCTCTGAATATCTCTTGCCTTGAACACCCCCCTCCCCTTGGGTTGCCACAAGTCAGCTGACCTGAACTGGCACCAGGGAGATGCTATTTGCCCCAGCTGGGTAAACGCATGTCTCCTAGTGCGCTGCATGTGTATTGGTGGCTTACACTGAGATGGCATTTGGGCCATGAGCTTGATCATCCAAAATGAGGATTGTTTTTGGAAGGAAGCAGGGGTGACAAAGTGGGAAGCCTTACCTTCTTGCCTCTCTTGAAGGTGCTGAACCAACTTCCTGGCTGCTCTTTACTCCAGGCAGCGAGTCGTACCTAAAGGCATAGATGGAAGATCGATGGCTCTTTTTAGGATTCCGAAGCCAGTTTCCTGAACCAGGTAACCTGTTTTGGATGCCAGTTACTGCCCCCAGTGCGCACACACATGTTCCCATATGATGGATTTGCACTGGCATACCCCCTGATCTCTTTACTAGATCACTGAAACTCACTCTTCTAACAGTGCCATCTATGGAAGACAAGAGCACATAGAGAGGTGCTCCTGCTAGCTGCTGGGAAACTCTGTCATTTGGATACTCACCAAAGCCTGAACTCTTTCTAACAGAACCTCTACTAAAACCTTCACTATTTACTTTCTACCCTTCACCAGTGGCTTGAGACATACATAACTGCAGGCCAATGCACCCAAACTAAATTCTAGTATCTTGAGTGAGGGTTTCCCACTATGAACTGTGTCCTACACTGCAGACTGTTTGCTTGGGAATGGAGACTGCCCTCTGGTTATAGACCTGCCCTACAATCCTTATTAGCTCTAGGGGAGTGCAGCAAACAAACACACAAAACGCTGGTATTCTTTTGTATCTGGGTATATTGGAGCTGGGGGAAAAATCAGTATTCCTGATTTCCTGGGTTTTAAATACCGGTATAATACTTAGATCCCTTTTTTCCTTTTTGTTCTGGGTTTCCAATATTTCTCAGTCCCATTATTTCCTACGGGGAATCTTTCTGGAGAACTGGGGGGGAGGGGGGCTTTTAAGGGTATAAAGGTAAAGGTAAAGGTTCCCTTGCTCGAAAGCCAGTCGAGTCCGACTCTAGGGTTGCGGTGCTCATCTCCGTTCCAAAGCCGAAGAGCCAGCGCTGTCTGAAGACGTTTCCATGGTCATGTGGCCGGCATGACTAAACACCAAGGTGCACGGAATGCTGTTCCCATTGAAGTGGTACCTATTTATCTACTTGCAATTTCTTGCTTTCGAACTGCTAGGTTGGCAGGAGCTGGAACTAGAGACGGGAGCTCAGGGGATCTGCTGATGCCTGTCCTTTGAATAACCCTCAAATTTCAAGAGAAATTCCAGTTCTATGGGCCCCTGAACAAGGTGCCTCTAGCAGTCCTCCGTTGTTTTTTGGGGGGAGGGGAGGGACGGAAAAATATAAAACCCAAGAATCTTCTCCCATAGGAACCCAACTGAAGCCTTTGCTATGCTAAGCTCAACTAATGTAAAATCTGAGAATCTGAAACTGTGTAAAACACATGACTCTCAAACTTTGTAAAACCCCAGCTGCATTCTGCTCTAACAGGTTTCCTGGAAACGGAGAAGAAAGGGAAAGGAGAAAACTCCCCCAGACAATGGGATCACATGTTATGGGGAGCATTGGAACTATCTGCCCAATTACTACAATTCTCTCTTAGCCCTTCCATGACTCTCTGAGTATGGGCCAAGAGGGGGAAAAAGCAGGCCTGGCTACAGCTTGATTCCACTTCAAGGTAAGAGTGGTGTGCTGCTGCTCATTTGGTCTGCCTGTGACTTGGATTAATTCTGCTGCCTGCCTGCACAGCCCTTTCTTTCTGTGCCAGGACTGGGTTGCTCTTTATTTGGGAATGTTATTTAGAATATTATTTCTAGTTTTTCTGTATTTTTTTGTTTTTGCCTGGGGGCTGTTGTTGGGTGGGAACAGCCTTTGTTTGTTTATTTTTCTTTTTTCTGGCTCTTTTGGAAAATAGTTTCTCCTCGTTTTGTTTTGTGCTGCAAAGGGTTTATACACTTTTGCTGATTTGTTGGGTTCTCTTGGAACAGCTTTTGTTTGTTTGTTTTTTTCTTTTCTGGCTCTTTTGGAAAATAGTTTCTTCTTGTTTTTTTGTGCTGCAAAGGGTTTACACACTTTTGCTGATTTGTTGGGTTCTCTTCACTTATTTTGGATTTTTAACTGCCTTTCCGTTTAATTTTTGAAGGGATTGTGCTGGGGGGGGTCCAAGTTGGCTCGTCTGGTTTGACATTGTTTGTGTTGGGCTTGCTGAATTGGCTCATGGTTTTGCTGAGATTCGCTGGTTTGATGCTGGTTCCGTTGGACTTGTTGATTTGCATCTGGAGGTTTTGACTTTGATTACTCTTGTGTGTTTGGCCATTGGTTTCTTTGCCCTGGAGAGAGCATGGATTTTTTTCCCCATAGGAAACAACAGAGACAAGTAAGATGGCAGGGGGCATCTTGTTCAGGAGTCCATAGAATAGGACCCCTTGACCCATTTCACTTGACTCCTGGAGGGTCTTTAGTGGGCCAGCATGACTAGAGTCCCAGCAATTTTGGTGTCAATGGAGATGAGCAATGCCCCCTAGAGTCGGATTCGACTAGCTTTCGAGCAAGGGAAGCCTTTACCTTTACCTTTAGTTGAAAAACATCCACTCCACATCTCTGGAAAGTAGTTGCCCTACAGTGAATAATGGATCCCAAAATAAATCCTGGATCAGAATTCTGAAACATGGGAGGACCCAAATACCAGTATGGGACCAGTTCCTGGAACCCGAATTTGGAAAACACCTTTTTAGCAGGTGTTCATCTATGGTTTCCTCCTCTCCACTCCTAATAATTATGCCTAGGGATTTGTGTGTGAGTGTGTGTGTGGAGGGGAAGGGGGGGACATTCAGGGTGGGAAGAACTAGAGTTACACCTCCTTTCTCACAACATTAATGCTGTTTCCTCACCTCCCCTGGCATGTCCATTGGTGCTGGTTGGGCAACTTTTGCCTCACTGCCAAAAACCATCCCCCAAATTCACTGGCTGGGCAAGTTTTGCCTCACTGCAAAAGTCATCCCCAAATTCATTGGATGGGCAAGTTTTGCCTCACTGCAAAAAAACAATCCCCCAAATTCACTGGATGGGCAACTTTTGCCTCACTGCAAAAACCCCCCCCCCCCCCAATTCACTGGCTGGGTAAGTTTTTCCTCACTGCAAAAGTCATCCCCAAATTCACTGGCTGGGCAAGTTTTGCCTCACTGCAAAAACCATCCCCTAAACTCACTGGATGGGCAAGTTTTTCCTCACTGCAAAAGTCATTCCCCAAATTCACTGGCTGGGCAAGTTTTTCCTCACTGCAAAACCCATCCCCAAATTCACTGGCTGGGCAAGTTTTGCCTCACTGCAAAACCCATCCCCCAAATTCACTGGATGGGCAACTTTTGCCTCACTGCAAAAACCATCCCCAAATTCACTGGCTGGGCAAGTTTCGCCTCACTGCAAAAAAAAAAACCCACCCCCCCAAATTCACTGGCTGGGCAAGTTTTTCCTCACTGCAAAACCCATCCCCCAAATTCACTGGATGGGCAACTTTTGCCTCACTGCAAAAACCATCCCCAAATTCACTGGCTGGGCAAGTTTCGCCTCACTGCAAAAAAAAAAACCCACCCCCCCAAATTCACTGGCTGGGCAAGTTTTGCCTCACTGCAAAAAAACCCCCCACCCCCAAATTCACTGGATGGGCAACTTTTGCCTCACTGCAAAAACCATCCCCCAAATTCACTGGCTGGGCAAGTTTTACCTCACTGCCAAAAACCATCCCCCAAATTCATTGGCTAGGCAAGTTTTGCCTCACTGTAAAAAATCATCCCCAATGTCACTGTTTCACTTGTACTCAATATGACTGAATGACAGATTCAGGTGGGTAGCTATGTTGGTCTGAAGCAATTCAACAAAGTTTGAGTCCAGTGGCATCTTTAAGACCAACAAAGTTTTATTCTGGGTATAAGCTTTTGTGTGCACACACACTTCTTCAGATTCTTCTTATCTGAAGAAGTGTGCGTGCACATGAAAGCTTATACCCAGAATAAAACTTTGTTAGTCGTACAGGTGCCACTGGACTCAAACTTTCTTATGTAAGAAAACACACTTTTGGTAGGATTTGTGTGTATGTGTGCGATGAAGTAGAGCACCCAAAGTTGTAGCGACCCCATTCCTGTGCTGCGATGGATTGTTGAAAACTGAGATAGACAGACACAATTGTTGATAGTTTTTTAGGTCAGAAAAGGATTATCTAGTACTTTGTGCATTCAAAGGGCTATGGAAAAGATTCACCATCATTTATCTATATCCCATCTTTATTCTGTTTGTCCACAATGCTGTATAGCCATAGCTAACATTCATTCCCCAGCCACCTCTACTTGGATCTAGAGAAGAGCTACTTACAGCCTCGACTTTCTTGTCCGGGAACAAGCAGGTTTCCCCGCCAGCTGTGAAATTGCAGAAAACTCGAAAGGCATCACGGCTGCAGCCTTGGTTGGGGTCAATCCAGTATTCGCCTGAGAGGGATGGAGAGACAGGTATCAATGTGGAAGAGTCCAGAGGAGCACCTAGGGCAGAGGTGACAAACTCATTTGTCACGAGGGCTGGATCTGACATAAGTGTCACTCTGTCAGGCCAGGCCGTGTGTGCCATAAAACATAATGCCAGGTACCAGAGATATAAACTGTATAAAGGGCAGAATCTGTTGTATCCTCACTGCAAGGTCCCATGGGCTGAGAGGGGGGTACAAAGGAAAACGCCGTATGGGCGGACCGGAGAGCCAGCATCGCAGCACTGGGCAGACGCTCCCACACGGCTTGACTGCTGCAGATGAGGCTGTTCCACCATGCTGAAGCCACAATCAGAGTGGCCCCCCCTGAGCAGTCTCCTGTTCCCTCCTGTGGACACCTTCGAAATTTTGAGAGGGAGGGGTGAGCACCCCAGAAGGTATAGCCAAACCCAAAATGGCTGCTACAAGAAGCGAGGGGGAGGGGGAAGAGAGAGGGAAATGGAACTGCACAGCACCATAGGAAAGCCTGGGTACTCACAAGTCCTCCTGATAGGCTAAGGCTACAACTGTAGCTCTCGAAAGCCCATTCATTTGCTTGAGGGCAGCCAGTAATAAGTCCTGCCTTACCATAGCCCTGCCCACTTTCTGAAAAGCTCAGTGGGCCCCAGGGGAACTACTGAAGGGAGCCATGGTGCTTATGGGTGCAACACTGGGGACCCCTGTGCTATATAGAACACACCGAGCCGAGCCAGCAGCCAGAGACCATCAAGGGCCCACCACCAAGGGTGCCGGTAGGCAGTCCCACCCCAATACTATATGTGGCCTAAGTTAGGGATTAGAGTTCATAGAACGCAACATATGTAAACCGCCCAGAGACCCTCCGGGGTTAGGGCGGTATAGCAAGTCTAAAGTTAATGCTTATGGGTGCCACACTGGTGACCCATGTGCTATATAAAGACTAGTTTATATCTGAAGTGGATTCGGGAGGTAAAGCTTTTGCTGGAGTGCTCTACTACAGGCTGCAGGTACAGAGGCATAGTTTGAATATCCCCCCTCCCCACCAACCTAGGCTGACTCCTTTCCCCCGATCAAGCCAATCAGTCCTTGCATGGAGCTGCAAAGAAAGGAGGGGTGGAAATACAATTTTATTTATTAAAATTATATTCCAGCGCTACTTTTTAAACCACAGCAGCCAATACCTGCCCACTCCCAAACAGAAATGTCAATGTACCAGCTAGCAAATGTCAAGGGAAGCCTTCCCCCTGTTTCTTGACAGGTCGGATCTGAAATAGGTAAATGTGGCAAGCTCCTTCCATCCTTTCCCTGATGCCCACACTCTAGCCCTGTGTGACACCCATTGCTTTTCTCCTGGATCCCCCTTCCACCCTCAGCCTCACCGTCTGTGACGTGGGGATGGCAAAACTGCAGCTCCTTGCAGACCCGGGCTGGGCTCTCTGGGGTACCTAGCGGGCATCGCATGTGTTCCACCTCCTCGCGGAGGGAGCTCAGGGCCGCTAGGACTTCTGCCAGCCCATCGGCATCGGGGTCAGCATCCAGTTCATTGGGCGCATCTCTCTGCTCTCCCGGCTCCCAGTCTCGGTGGCTCTTACGGCCACTGTCCATAGGCAGCGGGTCCCGGAACTCGGCTGGACGACCCTGGAAGGGGGCGACGGAGAGAACCAGAGAAAGAAAGAGAAAGAAAACAACACGGTGGTCTAATAGGGTTGCCAGCTCCGAGTTGTGAAATAGCAAGAGCCTGAGGAGGGTTGGGTCTGGGGGGGGGGGACGTCAGTGGGATATAACGCCACAGAGTCCACCTCCCAAAGCAGCCATTTTCTCCAGGGGAACTGATCTCTGTTGCCTGGAGATCTGTTATAATCCAAGGAGATCTCCAGCCACCACCTGGAGGATGGCAACCCTATGTCGATTTGTTGGGATTCTTTGATTCAGGGTCGATGGTCATATTGCAAACACAAGAGCACACACTTAGTAAAAGAAAAATATCTTTACTACAAAACAAAATAAAACATGGGTAAGGTACGTACTTTGAATAAAAAAAACAAAATAAAAGCTTACATACTTGCAGTTACTCTCAGTACTATATGCTAACAGCTACATCTTTCTAACTGTCTTAGCTTCTAGAAGAGAACTTCCTCTCTGGTTCACACAAAGAACCATAAACCTTGTGAATACATTAATGCTAGATCAAAGCATTTCACTTCATTAGGATAAACAACTCCCACAAACTTTCCCACCGTAGAATACATTACAGAATACATCCTGTTTCCTAACAAACAACATTTAACTCTGTAATGACTGAAGTGTAAGCAACTTGCAATTCCAACACAATTCCTCCTCCAACCCCAGGCTCATGGCCCAGCTCTTCTACCCAACACTCACCGGTTCCCCGGGCAGTCCGGGAGGTCCTGGATCACCTCGTGGTCCAATGGGTCCCTGGAAGAAAAGAGATTTAGAGCCTCAGCAGAAGAGAACAGAATCATATTTATTTATATTTATTATTTATTTCCATTTATATTCCGCCCTCCCTGCAAGTGGGCTCAGGGCGGATCACAGTAGGTTCTAAAACACATAAATACAATACATTACAGAATAATTGAAATATAGAATAATTAAGAGAAGAGAAGAAGAGAGAAGAGATTGGATTTATACCCCGCCCTTTACTACCCAAAGGAGTCTCAGAGCGGCTTACAAACTCCTTTCCCTTCCCCTCCCCACAACAGACACCCTGTGAGGTAGGCGGGGCTGAGAGAGCTCTTGACAGAAACTGCTCTTTTTTCAAGAACAGCTCTTATCAGAACTACGGCTTGCCCAAGGTCATCCAGCCAGGTGCAAGAGGAGTGGGGAATCAAACCCAGTTCTCCGAGATTAGAGTCCATGCACTTAACCACTACACCAAACTGGCTCTCTTAAAAACAGTTTAAAACCACATTTGCATTCACAACATTCATATACCCTGCCCTGAGTTTCTTGGAGGAAGTAATAGACAGGCAGATACATAGTCAGTCCCCTGGATACATGCAGCCAATGCCTAGTAAAACAGTAAGCCTACACCTCAGTGAGACAGCTAAATTGGGATCTGTCACCTTGGACTACAGGTAGGGGCCCCTCCATACAGAAAAAAAATAATCTCAGTGTTGTGACATGAAGATAATCCTATAGGGTTTGAAAATGAGTTTTCATATCTTTTTGTCAAAGAGCCTGTGTTCCAGAGAGAAAGAAACACAAAAAGCCTGGCTTTTCCACTGGATGATCAATACCGATCATAAAGGAGTTTGCCATCGGTTTGATGAAACAGAGCACCACAGCCAGGATTCGATAGGAGGAAGACAGAGAAGGTTCTTTTCAGCTGGAAACCAAATTAACAGTTGGAGGGGGGGGAATAAGTTAAAATTATAGAACAGACAGTGCTGGTTAGAAGTGGGGTTGAATGAATTTATTTATACTTTCTTTTTTTAAAGGAAAGCTTCAATTACTTAATATTTTAGTATTTCAAAAGAAAAGAAATCCTGAATTGGTTTACTGTTGACTACTGCCTTGGGGTAGGCAACTTCCTTTACTCAGTGAGTGATTAAAATGTAGGGTCTGCTGCCAGAGGATGTAGCAATGGCCAGAGGCAAAGACAGATTTAAGAAGGGAATGAGACAAATTCATGGAGGACATGTCTATCAGTGGCTACAAGTCATGGTGACTAATGGGAACCTTCACATTCGGAGGCCATCAGCCTCTCAACACCAGTGGCAGCAGGCAACTCCTAATGAAGTCCTTGGCCTCAATACCCTGTTGTTGGCCCTCTACTGTTAACTGTCTGGCCACTATGTAAGACACGATGTTGGACTAGACATACCACTGGTCCAATTCAGTATGGCCGTTTCTATGTTCTAGCCTCTAGCACACCAGACTGTTTTGTTCGGCATTTGGGGCCGGTTCTTCACCCAAGCAAATGATGCAAGACTTGGGACCAGTAGCATAGGGGAACGTACTGCACATGGCTTAAGCCCATCTCTGTCTCCTGGATTTGTGCAAATGCCAACCAGAACTTAGACAAGCCCCTGAAGGGCTAGAAGGACCACAGGGGATCAGCTTGATCCTAACGTGTCTGGCTAAGTGCCCTCTCCTTTCCCCCACCACATATTTATTTATTTATTTATTTAGGGAACGTACTGCACATGGCTTAAGCCCATCTCTGTCTCCTGGATTTGTGCAAATGCCAACCAGAACTTAGACAAGCCCCTGAAGGGCTAGAAGGACCACAGGGGATCAGCTTGATCCTAACGTGTCTGGCTAAGTGCCCTCTCCTTTCCCCCACCACATATTTATTTATTTATTTATTTATTTCATTTCTACCTCACCTTCCCCGCACTCGGGCTCAGGGCGGCTTACATAGGCACAAAAGTGCAATAAAAATACAACAGGTTAAAACAATTAAGGCACAAAAGTGCAATAGAAAGTAAACAGGTTAAAACAATTTAGGCAAAAATGCACATCTCACAGGATACATAAACGACTAAAATACTCACTCCCTATTGCATATCACGTTGGGATCAATGAGGGGGGATGCCACAGGCCACGATGTTCGGATGGCCAGTCAGCCCAACCCGGCGAAACTGCTCTGCAGTCGCACGGTGGTGGTAGTGGCGGTGGTGGCTCCAACTCAAAAGCCTGGCGGAAGAGCTCCGTCTTGAAGGTCCTGCGGAACTGTAAAAGGTCCCGCAGGGCCCTGATCTCCTCTGGGAGCTCATTCCACCAGGTAGGAGCCACCACCAAAAAGGACCTGGTCCTCGTGGAAGCAAGCCTGGCCTCCTTGGGGCCCGGGGTCACTAGGCGGTGTTGTGACCCCGACCGAAGTGCTCTTTGGGGCCTGTATGGGGAAAGGTATGCTGGACCCTGGCCATGTAGGGCTTTAAAGGTCAGCACTTTGAAGCGAATCCGGAAC